TGACATCCCATACAAAAGTAGCGAAGTAACTTATTATTTTGCGATTCTACATTTGATTGATAATTATTAATTTTAAACTCTGCCAATTTTGCATTGTCTGAAAGGAAATAAATCATTTTATTTGTATCTAAGCACATTATCTACATACTTTCGAATAGAAAGAATGTATTGTACATACATATAATCAAATCAAAACATATCCAAATATACATATGTACATACGTACTTGGTCAAAAGTTCGAATCTTAAGATTAATATTTAACTTGGAAACATTTTGGCTTTGCTTAAAGAATTTGTAGTAATTTTCTATTTTCTTCCATGGTGGAAATTAAATAAGGTTCTTACTTCTGCTACAAAATGAAAAATAAAACCTAAGCATTTGATCCACAGGACTGACTATTGATCGAAAATCATTTTGATCGGAGTTTAAGTTTTTAAAATCCAAAACAAATTTAACTTAAATTGCCTCTTTCCCCTCCCCTTTCCCTGCAGCACTACCCCTCACAATTTCTTGACTGTTGCTCTCTCGGCCGTCGCTCTCTTGGCATCCGCTCTCTGGGTTTCGCTCTCTCGGCAGGCTCCCACAAAATGCAACGCAATAACTTAGGAAATCTAAATAAATTCGTTAAAAATCCTCTAAAAAAATGTTAAAAACTTAAAAAATTTAACTTAAGCATCTGGGCCATAGAATAACCATTTACCAATAAATCATCTCGATCGGAGCAGCGGTTTAGATTTTTTAAATCGAAAAGTTAATTTTAAATGTAGCCCCCAAATTATGGGGGATATCGAAATTTCTGTTAGATTTCTAATTAGGCCCTTTCAAGACCTAAAACTCTGCAAAATCAAAATTTCGAAATTCCAACCACTTTAGAAGTTAAGCTTAAGTAAATCTAATGATTTTTTGCTCTAAATATGGATATTGGAGCTGTTTGGGGCCACTGGGGGACATGTCGGACCTTAGTGGGCGCCTACGACCCCAATGGAATACTGTGAAAAAATTTGGCTGCTCTAGCTCTTATGGTTTAGGTTGTGGTCGTATCCCCCTAAAAATCGGTCTTTCATTTTATAATCTTTAGATATAGGGTCGGAAATGCTTCCTTCTAGCTGTTACATACTTTTGCACGAATACAATATACCCTTTTACTCTACGAGTAACGGGTATAAATATTAACTTGTTTGGTTAAAAACTGTGGGAATGGTTGATGTTTTAAACAAGCAAATTGGCATTTTTTGGGAGTCCTGGGAGTCCTTAGGAGCCGAATTTGAAAAGTTCTTTCTTAGTGCACACCTCCTCAAACACACAATTCATACCCAATTTTTTCCAGAATTTTAGGTCTCATGGTTTGGGCTGGGGGAACATGACGCAAATCGACATCTACTCTTTTATAGTAATACTCGATAAGGGAGGCAGGTTGAAGGGGATGCCATGAATCAAATTGCTTAAACATTTCCATTTGCTTAAACAATATGAGGCACGTGTAAGAAAGGGTAAGAGAATCAATTGATTTGAATATTTAGTTTTTTTTTGAATACACAAAAATCTATAAGAAAATGTCTTCGATCTATTGTAGAAATGTAAATGCAATTTTTTTTATGTAAAAGGATATCAGTATTATCATTAATTTGAATTTAAGCAAATCTAACTTCCTTAGTCAGTTGCAATGTACACACACGCACATATCTAGGGATTGTGTTTATAAAAAACTCATTTTGTGGCTTTTATATATTTCGTCCATGTGTGTGTGCAACGGAGCGAAATAATGTTTTTTACAAATCAACAATATGTCAATATCTCAACGTTTGAAAACCAATAAATAGTTTGCTGATCAGTTTTTTGCATCTTAAAAATAAAAGCAATTTTAAGGAAAATTTCGACTGTAAAAATCAGCCTAATGGGATTTCTGTAAGTCTACCGATATTTTAAATTTAACGTTTACTAAATAAAGAAAGGAAGCTAGCTTCGGCAAGCCGAAGCTTATATACCAGCGGTCGGCACACTCATACAATTTCATTTTGTTTTATATTTTTGTGAGTAAATTGCACGGGGCAGCTCATCAAGGTGTGTGTAAAGACCGCTGCACTATGGGGAATTTGACCACTTTTTTTGGCCAATATTAATAACTCCGTCAATTTTAAAGATATCAAATTAAAACTTTGGCAATCGTTATTATTTATCACAACGCATATTCTGCATGAATATCTTTTGGATCAGACAACTATATCATATAGCTGCCATAGGAATGATCAGATCAACTTTGCTATTTTTAGAGATAAATGCACAAAACTTGATAAGAACCGATTTAATACAGTATTAAAACCACATACAAAATTTTGTTAAAATCGGAAGAATATTTCTTTTAGTTTCATAGAACCGAAAATTCTCAGAGCTTACATGCCATTTCTTTCAGTTTTTTATACAGTTATAGATTTATTTTTCTTTTTACAACCTCTTAGGTCCGTTTTTAATGTCAAATGATAGCGATAAGTGTTTTTGCCTTACTTTAGAAGACATTTCCAATGTAAGTCTATTGATATCTTTCTTCCACAGTGCATACAAAGGGGCATTTGCAAAATTTGAGGTTATGATCTAAAAAACTAAGTTTCTCCAAGAATCGAAAAAAGTGAAGTTTCTGACTATACTAATTTTAAAGAGAATTCCTTACTCTTTAATTCCCAAAGGTTTGATGGATGGACTCCGCTGGACTCGCTTTATATCTCTTTTTAAAAATTGGTTTTCTTTAAAAATATTCGTGTTAGACCGGTCACAAAAATAATCGATTACAAGAAAACCACGATTAATTTAGATTGTTTAATCACACAAATACTTAGTGCACACTACCATCCTTTGAATTAATTCCAAAAACTCCACTTAAATTGCTTTAAGACTCTTATTTTTAGCATTTAAATAGTCTCAGCATTTCGTCAAATTTCTGAGGCGTAAAAATGCAACATACAGCAGCTGATCTAACAGCTGTAAGTTAGCAGAGGCGGCCTCTATTGAAATTCCTGAAACGTAACATTAAAGATTGGTCTTCTGTTAAAGTATTCTAGAATACACATTTTTAGTTTAACGACTTTAAAAAAATGGGTTTTGGCCAAAAAAAGTGGTAAAATTCCCCATAGTGCGCTGTTCTACAGTATACGTGAGAGGCAGAGAATGAGCAGAACAATTTCCTATGCTCATTTAATAGGACGCTGCCGACCGCTGTTATATACCCTTGCAGATCATTCTATTAATTTATAAATCGCCAAAATGTTAAATTTCCTATTATTTCACATTAATTTTTCGATCGTTTCTGTGGCAGCTATATGTTATAGTAGTTCGATCTTTTTAAAATTAAAATCGAAATTCGGAAATATTTAAAAATAGTCATATCCCAGAGTAGAAGAGAATGTAATAAAAATCAACAAAGATATAATTGTTTTCCAATTAATTTCCATTTAATTTTTCGGCCGTTGCTATGGCAGCTATATGATATAGTGATCCGATTTTTTAAATATTTAATTCGAAATTCAGAAATATATAAAAAATAATATTTCCAAGAGTAGAAGGTAATATTTGAGAAAACACCGAAGCTAGAATTTTTTTAACGTTTCCTTCATATGGGAGCTATAAGATATAGTTGTCCGATCCGGTCGGTTCCAACAGATTTATCCCGATAGCTCAAAAACTGAGAGACTAGTTTGCATAGAAACAGACGGACAGACAGACATGGCTAGATCGACTCGTCTAGTAATGCTGATCAAGAATATATATATATACAACCCTAGTCAAAAGTATTTTCACAAATTTGAATGTTAACTGTACTCATATTTTGAACTTATAATATAAACAGTTTGGCACCTATGGAAAGAGCACTTCAATTCCGTTTAAATGACACAAAAATTTTCTTAACCCATTAAGCACCCTTTGAAAAGTGGGCAAATTAGACAATTTTTTTCGAAAGTCAAATTTTCAACTTTTTTTCTTGGGCTTAAAACAAAAATGTTTTGATGCAAAGTTGTTCCCCAATCAAAATTAATAATAACTGCAAAAAAAAAAAATTCAAAATATTTTTCCTTGTATTTTTTATGATTTTTTGAAAATAGCTATTTTTGCCGCTTTTTCTTCCTTTTCATACAAAATTTTACTGAGAGGTCTCCATTCAAAAAAATTTCAATATTTCGGAAAAGTAAAAATGCAGTTTTATTGTATTTATCAATACCTATTGAAATGTAGAAGAAATTTTTTAAATCGGACCATTCGTTAAAAAGTTACGGCGGATCAAAGTTGTTATCCCCATCTTCTTCGCACTCCCTTTAGCTGAGTAACGGGTATCTGATAGTCGGGGCACCCGACTATAGCGTTCTCTCTTGTTTTAAATTTGAACTGTGATAATAGCTGAAATGAGTATACAAATTACAAATTATAAATATAAAACCCCAATAACTTACCATTTTGAGAAAAACATCTTGAAATGATGTATAAGAAGGGAAATTGATCAAATAAGGTTACTTTTATATTTTCTAGAAAAATATTTTATAAAAAAACACACATTTTTTTCTGGATGTTAGAAAACTCTTCAAACATTATTTCTATTAAGTAGGGATATTTATAATTTTAATGCCGATTTTTTTTATTTTTTGGAAAGTTCAGTCTTTTTTTTCTTAAAATACTGGCGATTTTTACCCTCAAATGAAGATTAGAAAAAATAAACCTTATAATTTATAACAAAAAGAATTTTTCTGTACTTGAGAAAAAATTTTCTAAAAAATATTGTTTAATAGAGAATTTTTCTGAAGATTAGAAAATTTTTTCTTTTTATAGAATATTTTTCTAAAGCAAAAAGCAAATTTTTTTTCTATATTGAAGAAAAATAATTTTTGATTGTACCATTTCATTTATAATGCGGTTCTTCACTACATGGACTGGCGTCCATAGTGATTAATTATAATTTAGGCCAATTTTATATCTTTCGAATTATACTTATTTAAACTTTTTTATTTTCTCTTTATAGATATTAAAAATATTATATTTCTTGTGAACTACAAAACAATAAAAATGTGTGGTAAGTAACAACAGTAAAATAATTCATTCAGATATATATTAGATAACTTATATAAAATAAATGTTGAATACAAAAGTTTAGTGTATTTTTAAAAAAATTTGAAGATAGAAAGAAAATAATAAAAATCCGTTTCCTTTCTTTTGCCTTTATTGTGTTCTAAAAACCTTAACTTTAAATAAAAAACACAGCAAAAAAAAAATTTTTTTAAATTAGTGTATTAAAAAAATGTTACAATAATTTAGTTTAGTTTACTATATTATTTAAGTTACAAATCATTGCCGAACCGTTTTTTTTTTTGTCCGCACTTGAAAACTGTCAATAAGAGGCAAAACTTTTGAACCGGAAAAGTTAGCCCTGAAAAAATAAAATGCATGAATTGGTTTAAAGCAGTTGGTTACAATTTACACCAGTTTACAAAATGAAATCGTCAAAATGCTTAACGAAGGCAACCTTGTTTTTCCGGTAAAAAAGAGCTATCATTAGGAAATTGTCAGTTAAAATTTGTGGGTCAATTTTCTTGAGTGTAAAAGTTCTACTGGTATAGAATTTTTTTTCGGCTCTTAAGGAAGCAATTTATGCCCCGCTTTTAGATTTGTACCAACTTTTTAAACTTTGTACCATCACTCAGCTTGAAAAACAGGACAGATAAGCCAAAAAAAAAACAGGGAAAAAAAGGACAACTAATTTTAAAAAAAGACAAAAAAAAGGACAAAAGTAAATGCTTCTCCATTTTTCTGTTTTTACCAATGTGTTATATATTTAGGGGGGCACTAATAGGGAGAAAAGTTTGGTTAGACATAGCAGCTATAAATAAAGAGCCATTGAAATTAGAATGGTATCACCGGAAAGGCTGTCCTTTCGGCTATAACTTTTCCCTACATCATTTTAAAGTCAATTGCAAAACCTTCGAGGAACGTGGCAAAATGTCAAACTGTCGAAATTTACTTTCGCTTCATTTATTTGACTCCTTAGACACTAATCCTTTGATCTAAAATGAAGTACATATGCTGTGGTTCTTTTTTCTAACCTTTCTTTTGCTGTTAAAAATGCGATTATAGCTCTTTGACGGGGAAGTCCATATTTTTGTAAATTTATTATATTTCTTCCTTGATTTATAGAATTCTATTATTCCTTAAAAGTTTCGCGTTGTCAAATTTTTGTTTTGCCGCCCTTAGTCGCTACTTAGTTCATTTTGCTCAGTTTGACTGCAATCTGGCTCATAAAACTCTCGCTTACAAATTCGACCATGAGCGCAACCAATACTGCGACTCTGACCAATAGTTCTACCCACCTGCAGAAGTCATAAGAAATAAATTAAATTAATTGTAAAGTACCCTCAACCATTTTCAGCCCAAATGGAATTTTTGAAGTTTGGCTAAATACCACGAAGATTGAAGACCAACAAAATATTTAGTAACGCGTTGTGCATGAAAATGGCCTTCAGAAAATAATTTTTTCAAATAATCCATGTGACCTATGTCCAATAAAGTGTCCCGAACAGAATGGGACGATTTTCTGGAATTTGACATTGGCGGAAATTGTTCGTAATGGCGCTTTAAGCTCACAGTTTTAATGAAACACTCTAATGTTCTAAGGAACCTTCAGTAAACACGGCGCGCATTTTAAACGAGCCGTTTGGCCACTAGGGCCACATACTATTGATGCTCTTGTACTATTTAAGCCCCCTTCTCCCCTACTTCATTTAAATGGATTTTATATTAAATGCAATTATGTAATGATCTACTGCGCTTTACTCACAACCTTCTTTGTTTAATCATTTTACCATGGTAAATTTTTGTGCGTATACGTAATAATGTAAAATTTTTAAAATAATAAAAGCATTTCAAGTAACTACGTTTGTAATGCAAAAAAATTCAATATCTGCTTCAAATATGAAATTTTTTCTGACAAAAAAGCAGAGAATTAAAATTGATATAATTTTAAAATGTTTTCCTGTTCCTTTTGCTACAAAAAAAATCGTACTATAAAGAAAATCCATCGACTGCTTCACGTCTCTTTGATAATTTGTAAAAAGAATAAAAGTGCCGAATTGTAAAAATAATGTTTAAAAAGGCGTTTTAGCATATAAAAACAGGTTACCACTTAAAACCTTATTTTTGAAAAAAGTACAGATTTCCGTATAGGGGATGTTTGAAATTTTTTCCTAATAAAGCCGTTAAAAAAGGACAGATCTGTCCGGAAAAAGGACAAAATGGCAGCAAAGCTTTGTAGGGCGCTAGCATCTATATTCAGTAATCATATCAAGTCGATTAATCTATCTTGATCTATCTTTTCTATAAATAAATTGATCAAAAAAATAATTAGGGTGTTCAATTGCGTTGCAAACGTTGTAAAGTGTCAAAGTGTAAGGCAGTTCCAACAACAATTTCTATACAAAATAGTTTTCAAAAGTAGGCCTTTAAAACTATTTTGTATAGAAATTGTTGTTGGAATTGATATACACTTTTACACTTTACAAAGTTTGCAACGCAATTGAACACCCTAATTGTATTCGTGCAAAAGCATGTAACAGCTAGAAGGAAGCATTTCCGACCCTATAAAGTATATATATTCTTGATCAGGGTCACTAGCCGAGTCGATATAGCCATGTCCGTCTGTCCGTCTGTCTGTCTGTCCGTATGAACGCTGAGATCTCGGAAACTATAAAAGCTAGAAGATTGACATTTTGCATGCAGATTCTAGGAATTCCTACGCAATCGCTTGTATACGATTTTTAAAATTTCAATATTTCGGAAAAGTAAAAATGCAGTTTTATTGTGTTTATCAATACCTATCGAAATGTAGAAGACATTTTTTAAATCGGACCATTCGTTAAAAAGTTACGGCGGATCAAAGTTTTTAACTCCATCTCCTTCGCACTCCCTTTAGCTGAGTAACGGGTATCTGACAGTCGGGGCACCCGACTATAGCGTTCTCTCTTGTTTTATTTTAGTATTAAACCCTTGTATTACGAAAATGTATACCAACTTTGGTCGTTAAGACATCTTTTATTAAGTCACATTTTTTTTGCTTGAAATTTTTTTATTGAGGTCGTGAATTCCGCAGTGTACATAATAGCCGTTGTTTTACAAACCGTTCGGATATTGCAAAAATATTTTCCACATTTTTGATTTTGCCTAACCTTTTTTTAAATATATATGAAGCAGCGAATGAAACAAACACGTGGACTTGTAGGTTAAAGAATAAATGCTCTTTTATTGTCTAAGTATATTTAAACTGTTGGTACATAACTCGCGTGATCTGCGGCTTGAAGCTGACTGACTGCAAAAAGGGTTAGAGTCGCGCTTATCTACGCTTCTTTAGATTATAAATGATGAAAGAGAGATAAGCCGTTACTTTTAAGCTTTTACATATGATTCTAATCTCTTTATGATATTGGGCATATAGAACTGATCATATCATTTACATTTGTTGCTTTGATTAATATTACTTAGTTTCAACACGCCCTCTCAAAGTTACAAGTTAAATTTACATTTCAGTGACGCCCAAAGATCTTATGCAGGCTTTATGCTTGTTGTGGGTAAGACCCTTAGTCAATACATCTGCTGGCATAAGTTCGGTCGGCAAGTACTCGATTTGAATGTCACCACTTCGCTGCTTCTCTTGGATGTAGTGGTGGCGCACGTCGATGTGTTTGGTGCGCGGGTTGTAACCAAATCCTGTAGCTAATTTTTGGGCGCTTTGGTTGTCGTTGAATATACGGATCGAGTCGCAACCTCTCCCAATGCTGGTTAAGAGACTCCTTAAGTATATGGCCTCTTTGACTGCTTCGGACATGGCTAGATACTCCGATTCCGTGCTCGAAAGTGCCACAGTTCGCTGTTTTCGGGCTTCCCAACATATAGCTGCGCCCGACAACACAAACGCTTGTCCAGAGTAGGAGCGTCTATCGCTGAGGTTGGCTCCCCAGTCGGCGTCGGCCACACCGTACAGATCTTCCTTGCTCGGAAGGTATAACAGCCCCAGTCCTTTTGTCCCAGACAGATACCGTAGGACGCGTTTCGCTGCTTTCCAGTGTTCCCCATTGTAATTCGCGTTGAACTGGCTCAGAAAACTGACAGCAAACGTAATGTCAGGACGGGTGGAAACTGGTCTCTGTGCGTAACCTTTGGCCACCAAACGCACTTTTTTCTTGTACTCATTGCTTCCAGTATCCTTCGTGCGGAAAACCATTCTGTTGCCGATCGTCTTTCGGTCATCTGGTTGCTCCACGATGTCCCACGTTTTATTTTTCAGATGCGCCATAAATTCGTCTTCGATCGCCTTTATCCAGTTATCCGCCTCGTCCGAGCTTTTCGCTTCTGCAATATTTACAGGATCGTCAAATAATGCGTTGGCTATCTCACACTCTTCGTAAGGTTCGTCGCTTTCCAATTCCCCGCTGTCCGCGTCGTCTGCATTGTTCTGTTCTGCATTCGGTTGTTGATAAATTTTTCGTGGCCTGCCACGGAATCCGCTTCGAAGTGTCTTCGGGCGCCCTCTGCCACGGCGTTGCGTCGAAATAGTGGGTTCTTGTGGAGAATCCACCAACGGATCCGCCTCAAGATCATCTTGCCTGATTTTTGTGGTCGTCATCTCGATGCTAATCTCTTCTGAGTTGGGCTCCGTATAAAATTCTTCAAAATTGGTATTGAAACCTGGAAGACTCAGAAATTTTACGTCATTAGAAATTATTACTTTTCGCCTTTCCGGTACATAAAGTCGATATGCCTTTGAGGTAGCTGCGTATCCAACCAAGATGCATTCAATTGATCTGGAATCAAATTTTCCTTTGTTGACGCCCTTTTCGAGCGCAAATGCCTTGGTGCCGAATGCTCTCAGGTGTGCCACTGTCGCAGTTTTCCTTGTCCAGTACGTATAGGGAATATCTCCTGACAAGCCTGCTGTTGGACATCGGTTACGTATGTAGCACGCTGTGTTCACGGCTTCAGCCCAAAAAATTGCAGGTGCTCCTGCTTGCCTCATCATGCATCTGGCCA